GTGTATCTCAGAAGAGAGTTACCACGATCTCCTGTTCTATGAATATGTCTGCACAACAATCAGATGATCATGGGAAAATGAAGCTTGAGCAGTTAATAGACAAAGCACGAAAGCTTTGGGACAGTTCTCCTGAGCCAGTGAAGATTTTCCCCTGGAACAAAGCTCTGGACAACTTCATTCAACTTATTCTTGATCTTATTTTGGTTGTTGTCAAATACCTAGCCGTGCCTGTATTCGCAGTTACCTCACTGAGTGAAATGTCCTACTGTGCACATGAAAGGAAGCTATTTCTGGTTCCTATTCCAGTTCTCTTTGGAGTTGCTGTTGCTGGGATTCTTAAAGCCACTGCCCTTGAGTTATCTCCACATCTAAAGGTATGGTCATTGGTTATTCACCATTTTATAATCTAGATATCCGAGAGATTTGTTGGGTGTAGTATTAAGCTGTGTATTAAGCATTCCTAACAGTTGTGATGCTTGAGCTCCATAGGCTCTTTATTTTCTTCTATTCACTCTGTAAAACATTTTCAATTGCCTCATTATCTCTCTATTTTGAATTTCTAACAACAGGGCATGATCCTTTTGGATTAGTTAATCTCACTGCACTTGATGACTTTTCTTTGGGGATTTATCAGTGTACAAAATGGTGACTACCGTAGACGTTTACTAATTTTAAAATTCCAGCTTGCAAAAAGAATTCAGGATGAATACGATGATATATTTCAAAACTAGATGCCTTGTTTTCCAGACGTTTTCCATGATTTCTAGGAGCCAATCTGTTACGGACTTTTCTGTTATTTATATTTTGAGATGATTTTTATTGGTCATAAAAGAGCAAGATATGTGAAACTTAGTCTGGTGGTCTACCCTTCCTATTTACTGTATTGCAGTCTATGTCTTGTTTGATTTCACCCTTTTACCATAGCTTATTACTAGTCTTGTTTTCAGGATGCAGAAGTTCCATGGCATTTAATTGCTATTGCAATTTTGTTCACATTAATCAAATTGCCAGGGCCATATTACCCTTACTGGGGACGTATAATCATTCCTCATTTTGCAAATGGGGTTCTTTTGAGGACTCTATGGTTTGCAATATTGTGGTATAGAAGACCAAAAGCAATGAAAATGCCGGGTTCTAGTTAGTTATCCTCGAGTTATGGTACTAGCTCGCAGAGTTACTCAGTTTTTGTAAGTATTATTAAATCCTACAACTTACTAAATCCAATACATATGTGAAATGTGATTCTTGGGAATTCGAATGAGGTGTAATGTGTTTCTTTGCTTTATGAGTAAATGCTATATTATGGGAATTTAACCATGTGGAAATGCTCGGGTCAAATTCAAGTTTAGTTTTATCAAGCTACAGCTCCATTTTAATAACTATTTTAAGTTTTGCTCTCTTTTTTGTTGGTTAAATCAATTTTTAAGTTCCTATAGTTTCACTGATTTTTTAAACTGGTTATTATAATTTAAAATTATGTAATTGGCCCCCATACCACCATATTTTCAAATAAGTCTTCACCTCACCAGCAGTTATTATCTTGTTCTAAACTACAATGATCTATTTGAAAGCATTTAGATAATTCAATTTGTATTTGTCAAATAGTTTTTTGAGTTTTCAAATGTGTCCCTAGTTCAGCAAAAGTTAGCAGCTTTTACTGAGGACTGACTACTTTGAAAAAAACTTGAAAATATAGGACCCTAGATATGACTTAGTTCAAATTTAATGTAACTACAGGGATTATTATTGAGTGAGTTGATCTTTTTCTTCCCTTTACAACTTTTAAGTGTTAACCTATGTTATGAGAGTTGCCATAACTTTATAAGCATTTTGGTACCACTTTGACATCAAATTAATAGTCCAAAAGATTCGCCGAAAAACAAAAGTAGTCCAAAGGCTTCTATGTACCAGAACATGTCAGCCAATGGATGAATTAATTAAGGAACGATCTTGTGCTGCTAATGTTTCCAAAAATCTTTTATTGAGCAATATATAAAATTTTAATTTATGTATTTATATAAATAGTCCCCAATCAGATTGTAGTTTGCAGTTGTTTCATTTCGCTTGCTTTACTTGGGATCTAACCATTCAACATTTGTAACATTATCTTTCAAGAGTAAAACTGATTTCCCAGAACATGTTACTGTTAGAAGATTGTTTGGTGAATCAGACCCCGTGAGAATGTTGTGTGATAATAGTCCTTGTAACAATTAACCAATATATTCAAGTTTGCTTATATGAGTCCTGCAATTCAAAATGGAAGTACTTTGATAGTATAACATCTTGTACAGGCTGACTTTAGTTGTTAATTCAACAGTATTTTGTATCAAAATGCTCTTATTGATGAATGGATCATTGACTTTTGCTTACTCTTATACAGGATACCAGATTTTTGCTAGTGAAGACGCCAGTGGCATTAAGCAATGCATTTAGATTTTTACTAAATTTAGATTTCACTTTGTTGAGAAATAATGTAAGTGCTGTAGTTAGTGACTATAGTTTGTCTTGGAATGATAGATATGGTTGTGTTGGATACCCCCATATTAATAGTTGTAGCTGATACATATCAAGAAAATAGATGGCAATGGTGACTTCACTTTTGGTATAAGAAAAAAAATTCTTAACCTTTGCAAGAGAAATATCAAAAGGATTGGTTGAGTGGAATGACACATCGTTGTATTTGATGGGGATTTCTTGTAGGTGACATGGTCTACATGTCTTTCTGGAGTACATAAATGTTGGTCTCCAAATATTAGAACTGAATTCGTGCATAAATTAGTGAACAAATTGTGTTCTTAAACATTTTTATTGGATGAAATTTATAAGAAATTGATGAAATTTGAAGGTTTCATATCTTTTTTAACGGTCTTTTCCTGGTTTTGTAATTTTTAATAAATTTTAATCAATAAAAAAGAAGTATTTAAGTAATTTATTATGTATTATAGAATGTGCTTTAGCACTTCTCATATTTTATTTTTGGTTATATCAGTAATGAAAATCCAATTTTCATCCATCCTTTTTCAGACAAAAAAGATGGATCATTTAACAATCTACTTGGTAAAATAATAATTTAAAAAAGTAAACTTTTGTATTTGTAAATAAAAATAGATTTTGAAAGATAAAGCTAAGTAGGTGTAAAAAATATTAAAAGTATCAAAATATAATTGTTCTTTTCAAATACACATTATCATTAATTAAAAGATAAATATTATATAGCTGAAATAATCTTTTTGAAGAGTTTCTTTCTTACTATTACCTCAACGGGCATGGTTAATAATTAGTTTCGGATATGCATTATCATTTCTATAATAAATCTTAAATGATAATAGAGGTTTAAAAATTAAATCAACCTTTTAAATACTGATAGTAATAATGAGATATTTAAGCTATTTATTGCTAGCATTACAACGGTAGAAAGAATGGAAAACATCGAAAGAATATGTACAGCCATATACCACCATAAAAACGTTCATTTATATAAAAGAAAAAGTATAACATATTATTTTTTACTGTATATTTCAAAATGAAAAATAAAAAACTATGAATTGAACATAAGTAGATATACACAATTCACAGAAATTACTATTTTGGTCTTATTAACACTTTTTTTATATACTTCCATTTACATATGACACCCATAAATATTATTATTTATTTCAATATTTTGTTTACCTTTATTTTTATTTATTAAATATAATATTTTATTAATAAAAGGAAGAGTGAAATGAAAGTAAGAGAACAGTTGAGTTTGAAAATAGAATTTTCATAACAGAAGGCTATTCATTAGCCTTGGGATTTAAATGCTTAATTCCAGACATGAATGAAGTTACAAGAAAAGGAATATTGGTATTTTAATATCACAATTTTTTTTATTATCATTTGTTTGACATTATCCCGCACTATTATTTATTCTCTTTTTTTTTATATATATAAATACAAAAGTTATTTTTTGCAAACATCATTTTATTTCCATAAAAGTTGTAAAATGATAATTAAATAACTATTTTTTTAAAAAAAATTCTACCCCATTTTGTTGGATCATAATTTTCCAATTATACCTAATAAATATTAGAAGGAAAATTTAACGAGACAAGCTAGTCAGTTATTATCACAGAAAAGCTTTCAGTCTTTTGGTTTTCCAAATTCCATACATAGTTTAAGTATAAATATTAAACACTAACATTCATCAAAGTGTTTGAATTGAGTTTTTGAGTTCTGTACTCTTCATTCAGCTGATAGAATATGGGCAAAGAAGATAAGAAATTTGCCGTAGGAATCGACCTTGGTACAACGTATTCCTGCGTTGCAGTTTGGCTGGAGCAACACAGCAGAGTGGAGATAATCCACAATCAGCAAGGCGATAAAACCACACCTTCTTTTNACTATTCATTAGCCTTGGGATTTAAATGCTTAATTCCAGACATGAATGAAGTTACAAGAAAAGGAATATTGGTATTTTAATATCACAATTTTTTTTATTATCATTTGTTTGACATTATCCCGCACTATTATTTATTCCCTTTTTTATATATATATAAATACAAAAGTTATTTTTTGTAAACATCATTTTATTTCCATAAAAGTTGTAAAATGATAATTAAATAACTATTTTTTTTAAAAAAATTCTATCCCATTTTGTTGGATCATAATTTTCCAATTATACCTAATAAATATTAGAAGGAAAATTTAACGAGACAAGCTAGTCAGTTATTATCACAGAAAAGCTTTCAGTCTTTTGGTTTTCCAAATTCCATACATAGTTTAAGTATAAATATTAAACACTAACATTCATCAAAGTGTTTGAATTGAGTTTTTGAGTTCTGTGTTGGATTATTATTTGTTTTTTAAATAAAGCCCTATTTATAAGGGTTGAACTACTCTAAGCCTGTTAGCTATTATTTAGGTGTAAGTGACTACTTTTTAGTCATTTACTTAGATTCAGTTTTTATCTGTAAAGGCTTATAGTTAACATTCTGTACTCTTCATTCAGCTGATAGAATATGGGCAAAGAAGATAAGAAATTTGCCGTAGGAATCGACCTTGGTACAACATATTCCTGCGTTGCAGTTTGGCTGGAGCAACACAGCAGAGTGGAGATAATCCACAATCAGCAAGGCGATAAAACCACACCTTCTTTTGTTGCCTTCACTGACAAACATAGATTCATTGGTGAAGTTGCTCGGATTCAGTCTGTCACCAATCCAGAAAACACTGTTTTTGGTATGATTTCATTCTCTCCAGCATTGAGTTGCTTATTCTTTAAGTGAGTTTTTGGAATGTCCTTTACATCAAATCATACATATGAACTTTAACTTTTGTTTTTCTCCAACACGATAGAGTTGTTTAAATAAATACAATTGCAATTATTTGTTGTTATTATGATTTCTCTACTGACTTTTACATACGGGATGTCTTTCCACTTTTGCAGATGCGAAGAGGTTGATTGGTAGGAAATTCAGTGATCCCTTTATTCAAAAAGAGAAAATGTTATGGCCATTCAAGGTTGGTGCAGGTGCTAACGACAAGCCTATAATCGTGGTTAAATACAAGGGTCAGGAGAAGTTCCTCTGTGCCGAAGAAATCTCATCTATGGTTCTCATGCAGATGCGGGAGATTGCCGAGGCGTACTTGGAAACACCTGTGAAGAATGTTGTTGTCACAGTGCCTGCTTATTTCAATGACTCTCAACGTAAAGCCACCAAAGATGCCGGTACCATTGCTGGTCTCAATGTTATGAGGATAATCAATGAGCCAACTGCTGCAGCTATTGCATATGGCCTTGACAAGAAGACTAACTGTGTTGGGGAGCGAAATGTTTTCATTTTTGATCTTGGCGGTGGTACTTTTGATGTGTCTCTCGTCACAATTCAGAACAAGGTCTTCCAAGTTCGGGCGACCGCTGGAAACACTCATCTGGGAGGAGAAGATTTTGACAATCGAATGGTGAACTACTTTGTGAAGGAGTTCAACAGTAAGAACAAGGTAGATATTAGTGGGAACCCGAGAGCCCTAAGGAGGTTGAGAACTGCATGTGAGAGGGCAAAAAGGATACTGTCATATGATATCACCACAGACATTGAGTTAGATGCGTTATTTAAGGGCATTGACTTCTGCTTTTCAATCACTCGTGCAAAGTTTGAGGAAATTAATATGGAGCTCTTTGAAGAATGTGTGGAGACAGTTGATAGATGTCTTAGGTATGCTAAGATGGACAAGAGCAGTGTAGACGATGTTGTGCTTGTTGGTGGTTCTTCCAGGATTCCAAAAGTGCAGGAACTACTGCGTGACTTCTTTGATGGAAAGGATCTGTGCAAGAGCATCAACCCTGATGAGGCTGTTGCTCATGGTGCAGCTGTTCAGGCTGCTTTGCTGAATGAAGGCATGAAGAATGTTCCAATCTTGGAGCTACTGGATGTTACACCTCTATCCCTTGGTATAAGCACACATCCAGATGTCATGGGTGTGGTCATTCCCAGGAACACTACCATTCCCGTGAGCAAGATAGAAGTATTCCGCACAACAAACGATAACCAATATAGAGTGCGGATTGAAGTTTACGAGGGTGAGAGAGCAAGAGCCAGTGATAACAATTTGTTAGGTTCTTTTGTTCTTTCTGGATTTCCTCCTGCTCCTCGTGGTCATCCTTTGGATGTATGCTTTGCCATAGATTCAAATGGTATGTTAACTGTTTCAGCTGAGGAAAAAACCACTGGAAATAAGAATGAGATTATCATAACCAATGATAAAGAGAGACTGTCTCCTGAAGAAATTATGAAACTGATTCAAGAAGCTGAGAATTTTCAGGCGGAAGATAAGAAATTCCTTAGAAAGTCCAAAGCAATTAATTCTTTGGATGAATACGTTTACAAGATGAATAAGGCTTTGGAAAAGAAAGATATGATTTCTAAACTTAGCTCATCGACAAGGGAGAGGATTAGTTTGGCAATTAAGAAGGGTACAGAATTGCTGGATGGTAAAAATCAGCATGAGGAAGCATATGTATTTGAGGATTATCTGAAGAAGCTTGAGAGCCTCTATGAAGAAACAATAGGCAAGAATGGGTAGAAGCTTTTCCAATCTAGATTTTTGCTGTGCTGATTTGCCTCCTGCTATGTGATGAAAACAATCTTTTATGATTTATTTGGTATCTCAACATTGTTCAAGTTTCACTGTTTTGTAGTCGATATATAACCTTAATTAACATAGCTTTTGTTGATTTTGCTCAATCTGCGTCTGATTGACCCTTTGACTCATACCGATTGCTTATTTTTCCATCATGTGTGTTGCCATCGGTGCATCTCTTCTGTTGTTCATTTGCTATACTTACGTGAAAATAGAAAACAATTTTCTGTTGTAATTTTTTTAATTTGTTCAGTTAGAAAAATAATATTTTCCCCATGACAATAATTAAGCTTCCATTTTAACATTGATCTAAATAGGATCCTTTTAAGTAACTCGGCCGGATTTAAGTCTTACAAATTAAAAAAGATATGATTGAAAAGACCTTATCAAAATTAGTTAATCAAGTATTTTTCAATAAAGAATAATTACTGACCAAAATTAATAAATAATTTCCACTGGACTTAACTTCAATGACTCCAATCAATTGGCAATTCTACACAAGAAAGCTGTTTATGCGTCCATCTCTGTCTATGAACAAATTAAGCACAAATTCATCAAATTTTTCCAACCATAAACATCGAATAAAATTTTACTATTTTACAACATGATCCCATTAATGAAGTATAGTAATATAGTGATAAAGTTTACTGAGAACTTTAGAAGAGTGGAACCGAAACCTGTATAGATACCAGAAATGAAAGATAAGATTGGATCATTAAAGATCATAAAATACAAGCAGAGTGGATCCTGAGAATATAAGATTTTAATCATAGAATCCTTCCCCTTCATATGTGAAATATTTTTCTTATACACACTCTTACAATCTCACTGAACAATCCACTGTATCTGTTATAAATTGATGAGAGAATTCAGTTTACAGTGTGTCTGGTAGCAACTTACATTGCATAAACTATTTCTCCACTGCTATCAATATCAAGATCAGAATCTGTCTCTGGGTCCTCGTCCATGTCATCATCATCCATGTCCAAGCTACCAGTGAGATACTGGTTGAGAGACTGAGTTTTGGCTCCAGGAATTGTAGCCTCTCTAATTATCTGCATGATCTCTTCAACGCTCTGCATTGGCTGATGAGGCTCCTCAAACTGGTTGCTCATTGTGCTGTCCACCATCAGATCTGCCGGAAGGTTCGTCAAAAACCACTCGTGGCTTCGAATATCAGGAATAGTTATTCTCTGCATGAAACAATACCAGTCTTAAGGATAGATAAAAAAACAAACAAACAAGAGGGGCTTAACTTGAAATGGAATATTAATTTGAAGATTCATCTGTACTAGCTAGTAGCTGATGAAGCTACAGCTTTTCTTTCTTATCCGTTGTAAGAAACTCATGTCTAGATACATATTCCTGTCTTGCTCCCTTCTAGATATATAACATTCAATAGTATATACGAAGCACACAATTTTCAGATCGAAAAATTAATTAAAATTATAAGCTGACCTGTGCAGGATCTGCAACGAAGATCCTTGAGATTAGATGACGACATTCGGGAGATATATGAACATAATCAGGAATTGAGTACTGGACTTTCAAAATCCTCTGCAAACAAAATCCAACAGTTTAAACAAAATCAAACTGCAGTGACCTAAACACGGGTGCAGTAACCTACCTGAATTGTCTTTCGGAAATTTGCAGGTTCCTCTGGATCCTCAAAAGGATATGCACCTACCAACATGACGTATAAGGTCACCCCACAGGACCACACATCTGCAATCTGAGTCACAATTGAATGACAATGTCAGTGCAATGTATTAGTGAATAATTATTCAAGAAAATGCATAGCTGTCCTGAAAATAGTGCTTTCAGATTATAATCTAAAATTTTGTTTCATCTGTAGGAGATAAAGCATAACATTAGTCACAATCCTTTCTAACCATAAATGAAAAGCAAACATACTTCAAACATGATTATATAATAGTCTCACATTAATCAAACTTTTCTTCATGTTCCACAACCATCGATAAGAATCATTCACAGAGAAAGTGATGAGAAAACAAGGGAGGGCCGTTATGATATCCAGTTTGGAGAAAGATATTGACACCATACTCAAAAAAGAGGAAAATATGAGTGATAAGTCATGAGATTAATCGCCTCAGCGATAAGATCAAATTGGGATTCTTGTTACTTAGAACTCCACAAAGCTCTCACAGGTAAAAGTCCATTTTCTGACAGAACTCACAATTCACACCGGGGAACCATGAAAGAGATTGCAATGAGCCTTAAATAGAAAAAAGAAATATTTTTCATTTCTCAATCTTGGTTATGTTCTATTCTTCAGGAAAAAGAGCTCAATATTCTAGTTAAGGTTAAAAGTATTACACTATCGTCCTTGTAAGTTGTAGGTCATGTCTGCTGTTGACACCCAAACATAGCAACTTCAGTTATCAACCAAAGTCTACTACTCACTGGATTAGATTCAACAAATAGGATGATGCTAAAACAGTGACAATCCAATTAAACCCCTAGTGGTTACAGAACATATCATTATATGTTTTTCCATGCAACACCTAGAAATTACAATTGATAGTGTCTTTACTGACATTAAGACGGTAGATTCTACTCTGCATGGAATCAATCAACAGGTGGTTGTGGTGACCAACGTATAATTGCAAAGTATAAGAACCAAATACACTAATACAACAGTTCTATGAATATTCTTTGGGAGATGGAAGTTACATAATACCTTGCCATCATATTCTTTCTTAAGCAAAACTTCAGGAGCAATGTATGCAGGGGTACCGACTGTAGATTTTGGTTGTGAATGTAGTACAGAGGACTGCAAAAGTAACACAATCAAGATTTATGTCACAGATAGTACAAACTGATCCATAAATGCAAATAACAGATGAAGAAATTTCTTGATCTTGGGGTACAATAAAATTGCAATGAACTTCCCAAACAGTACCCAGTGCAAATATCAATCTGGAATTCATGTATTGTAAATGCAAAGAAAGAAAAGTACCTTCGAATACCCAAAATCACAAATCTTCAAACGAGGAGCTGGACTACCATCCAACAATGTGTTCTCCAACTTTAAGTCACGATGGCATACTTGCTTTATTAAAGAAGATAAATAGAGACATTCAAGTATGACAATTTACTGTATCTTTCAGCTGAAAATGCACTAATGAGAAAGTAAAAACTAAAATTGCCAAACTTACGTACCATTGCATGACAGAAGCTAACCCCTGATATAAGTTGTTGGAAGAAGAAGCGTGCCTGCAGCAAAACATAATAGGCATTAAGGGTAAATGGTAACTGCAACAACACTGGAAAGAATGCTTGATTGGAAAAGATTAGAACCTCATCTTCACCAAATCTTCCTGCTTTGCAAATCCGTTCAAATAATTCTCCTCCAGAGGCATATTCCATCACAATAGCCAAATGTGTAGGGGTTAGTATGACCTATACTTTCGGAGCATGAGAACTGATTAAAATACGCCTTAGGTACAATTAGGAAGAAATAGGCCAAGACTTTGGACGTGTACAGAGTTAAGAGAACAAACCTCCTTGAACCTGACAATATTGGGATGCCTCAATGATCTATGATTTATAATTTCCCTTCGTACATTTTCATCTATCTGTTAAGAAAAAAACATGATTAAGCTTAATGTAATGCAGGGAAAACCACATGCATGCAACACTATCCCTTTCAAACTTTATTTAACTCTACTGAATAACTTAGATTGACACAAACTCTAGATAAGCTTCATCATAGGTGGGAATGCTGTTGTACTTGTGGCTTGTCAAACAAACAAGTGTCGAGGGTTTAAGGCAGCTATAACATTAGTTAAGAAAGTCTGCTATCAAGCACACTGTAGCATTTGCACTTTCAATTGAACCACTGCAGCCAACATTTAGAACCAAAAACAACACTTATAATGTGCGTTTGAAAACAGTAAGAGTTAATTGCCAAAAGAGACATGGGGGCACCACTAAGCTTAACTTTTATAGGTAGAAGATGAAAGCAAAATCTTGGTTCATATTTCCAAAGGCTGCAAATTCCATCCAAACACAAGAACAGCAAAACCTGCATACAATTAGATTAGGCAGCACGTACACATCCCAATTCTGAACAGACTGAAATCCAGATGTACACCCCTATCAATCCCCAACATCTCTTTTAGCACCATCCAACTGAAAACCAAAGCACCCACCACCACCAGTAGCACCATTTCCAACAAAGAACCCAATCAATCAAATCATAACCTACAGACTTCAGTTGCCAAAATCCCCCACCCAAACCAAAACTTTACAAGCACAATAAAGAGAAAAGGAAAGCTTAATTCACGAAAAAAGAACAAAAAAAGAAAAAATTTAGCTATAATGGAAAACAAACCTTTTCACCTCTCTCAATATACTTCACAGCAACAAGCTCCTCAGTGTGCTTGTCCCTCATGAGCCTAGCCACCCCAAAATTCCCCGACCCAATATCACGGACCAGCTCATACCTATCACTATCATGCATGATTGGCATATCCATTCCTGGCCCAACAGTCATCGCAGAACGATCCATCTCCACCCCTTTACAAATCCCACCTTTACTTTTTCTATCACTATGCACCAAAACAACAACACCCCAACAGCAAAATCTTAGCTCTCACATTGAAACATCCAAAACCCAGATCAGATCTTTGAAAAACAAAACCAGGGTAGTGGCTGACAAAAATAAAACAAGGCAAAGCTGCTACTTGAGCCCGTGAAAAGGTTTCAACTTTCACCAACCAAACTAAATGGGGATATTTTATTCTTTCTTTCAGAGTTGGCAGTGGTTTAAGTAGGAAGTTGCAGGAGCAGAGGGTCGGTGATAGGCTCGTGAAAGTGAAACTGAACCTGAACGTGAAACCTCTCTGCTTTTCTTTTTTTCTCTCCCTCTCTTCTCTTCTCTTTTTGTGTGCCTTCTTTCACCAAAGTTTATCTTTTTGATTTTATCCAAAAAACTGAGAATCTGAGATGCATGAGGCTAGCAGGTTTCTAATTTCTTAATTTTTCTTTTTTTTCCTATGGATTTTCTATTTTGTGCTTTCAGCAACTCCAATGATGATCTGATCAGTTTCCATTTGTTTGTCACTAAATCAGTGAAACGTGTCAACCACAGACTGAGAAATTAAGGAACATTTTTACCATTTTTCTAGTTCAACTAAGTTTGCAACCTCTTTGGTTGGGTGAAAAAAAAAATAATGATATTTAACACCATTTTTTTTACCAATATTTTAATATTATTTGTGTTATTATATGATTCATCCAAAATTACTTTACCATCAATAATAATAATAATAACAATCATAAACACAAAAATCAATCGTACAATGTTAAAATATGGTCAAAGTATCATTATCTAATAATAAATAATCATTTAATTCTTAAAATCATTTTATTGTTATTGGATTGTAATTACTTTATAATTTTATCATCATAACTGGTTAAGAGCTTTATTTTTTATTTTATAGTTTCAAATTTGTTGACTTAATGTTTTTAGCATTAATTATTGTATTTAAAACAAGAGTTAAATATAATTTTAATTTCAAAATTTTAATGTAAAATTAAAATTTCAAAATTTTAATTATAATGTTTTTATGTGTCAAATTATGATTCATAACGTATCGTTTGATACATTTTAATTTAAATATTAATATAAAACGTTATTTAATATATAAAACATTATTTTTAATTAAATTAAAATTTTATATTTATTAATTTTTTAAATTTGATAATAAAAATATATTAATGTTTTAAAAAAGATTTTAGTTTAGCTTTTAACATCAGAAACTAAAAAATTAATTTTTAATTATTTGTTTTAAAATTTGAAGTTTTATCATCTCTTAAAATATTAAAATATAAATATATATTTAAACTATTTTTAACTTCAATTTCTAAATGATATTATTAAATATGATACTATTAAGTACATGATAATAATAACTCTTTTGATCAATAACTAGAAAATTTTATTTCTACATACAATAATATTTCAATCTTAAATTTGTTATTAATAATATTATTAGATCCATTTCCAATTGGCTGGAACTTAGACCAATCATAATTTTCCTCTTAGTATAGTTTTGTATTTCTACAATTGGCAGGAGTTACTTTATGAGTCAGAGTTATACATATATAGAAGGGAGCACCCATTATTGAGCAAGATAATGATAAAAGTGACAGAATGGTGTCAGTAACAGCAGCAACAAAGAATATTTAAAAATTGGAACAATAATGTATGCAAATAAAAAAGAAATAGGCACTAGAAGACAAATAAAAGTAGATGGATAAGTTAGCAGAAATGCAGAATGTGCATCCTCTTTCTTTGGTTCGTAGTACAGGCAGTATATTAAAGTTGTCGAAACTTCATGTCGAAGCAAATGGTATTGGACAAATAAATAAATATATATGTATATAT